TTAAACCCACCGTGAGTTAAACCCACCGTGTGTTAAACCTACCGTGTCTTCAACCCACCGTGAACCCACAATGTGATCAACCCACCGTGTGTTCAACCCACCGTGTGTTAAACCCACCGTGTGTTAAACCCAACGTGTGTTCAACACACTGTGTGTTCAACCCACCGTGTGTTCAACCCACCGTGTGTTAAACCTACCGTGTGTTCAACACACCGTGTGTTCAACCCACCGTATGATCAACCCACCGTGTGTTCAATCCACCGTGTGTTAAACCCACCGTGTGTTCAACCCACCGTGTGTTCAACCCACCGTGTGTTCAACCCACCGTAGATTAAACCCACTGGGTGTTAAACCCACCGTGTGTGAAACCCACCGTGTGTTGAACCCACCGTGTGTTCAACCCACCGTGTGTTAAACCCACTGTGTGTTCAACCCACCGTGTGTTCAACCCACCGTGTGTTCAACCCTCCGTGTGTTAAACCCACCGTGTGTTCAACCCACCGTGTGTTCAACCCACCGTGTGTTAAACCCACCGTGTGTTCAACCCACCGTGTGTTCAACCCACCGTGTGTTCAACCCACCGTGTGTTCAACCCACCGTGTGTTCAACCCTTCGTGTGTTCAACCCACCGTGTGTTCAACCCACCGTATGTTAAACCCACTGTGTGTTAAACCCACCGTGTGTGAAACCCACCGTGTGTTGAACCCAACGTGTGTTGAACCCACCGTGTGTTAAACCCACCGTGTGTTAAACCCAGCGTGTGTTAAACCCACCGTGTGTTCAACCCATCGTGTGTTCAACCCACCGTGTGTTCAACCCACCGTGTGTTCAACCCACCGCGTGTTAAACCCACTGTGTGTTAAACCTACCGTGTGTTTAACCCACCGTGTGTTCAACCCACCGTGTGTTAAACCGACCGTGTGTTAAATTCACCGTATGTTAAACCCACCCAGTGTTCAGCCCACCGTGTGTTAAACCCACCGTGAGTTAAACCCACCGTGTGTTAAACCTACCGTGTCTTCAACCCACCGTGAACCCACAATGTGATCAACCCACCGTGTGTTCAACCCACCGTGTGTTCAACCCACCGTGTGTTAAACCCAACGTGTGTTCAACACACTGTGTGTTCAACCCACCGTGTGTTCAACCCACCGTGTGTTAAACCTACCGTGTGTTCAACACACCGTGTGTTCAACCCACCGTATGATCAACCCACCGTGTGTTCAATCCACCGTGTGTTAAACCCACCGTGTGTTCAACCCACCGTGTGTTCAACCCACCGTGTGTTCAACCCACTGTAGATTAAACCCACTGGGTGTTAAACCCACCGTGTGTGAAACCCACCGTGTGTTGAACCCACCGTGTGTTCAACCCACCGTGTGTTAAACCCACTGTGTGTTCAACCCACCGTGTGTTCAACCCACCGTGTGTTCAACCCTCCGTGTGTTAAACCCACCGTGTGTTCAACCCACCGTGTGTTCAACCCACCGTGTGTTAAACCCACCGTGTGTTCAACCCACCGTGTGTTCAACCCACCGTGTGTTCAACCCACCGTGTGTTCAACCCACCGTGTGTTCAACCCTCCGTGTGTTCAACCCACCAAGTGTTCAACCCACCGTGTGTTCAACCCACCGTGTGTTCAACCCACCGTGTGTTCAACCCACCGTGTGTTCAACCCACCGTATGTTAAACCCAATGTGTGTTAAACCCACCGTGTGTGAAACCCACCGTGTGTTGAACCCACCGAGTGTTGAACCCACCGAGTGTTAAACCCACCGTGTGTTAAACCCAGCGTGTGTTAAACCCACCGTGTGTTCAACCCACCGTGTGTTCAACCCACCGTGTGTTCAACCCACCATGTGTTCAACCCACCGCGTGTTAAACCCACTGTGTGTTAAACCTTCCGTGTGTTTAACCCACCGTGTGTTCAACCCACCGTGTGTTAAACCGACTGTGTGTTAAACCCACCTTGTGTTAAACCCACCGTGTGTTCAGCCCACCGTGTGTTAAACCCACCGTGAGTTAAACCCACCGTGTGTTAAACCTACCGTGTCTTCAACCCACCGAGTGTTCAACCCACTGCGTGATCAACCCACCGTGTGTTCAACCCACCGTGTGTTCAACCCACTGTGTGTTAGACCCAACGTGTGTTCAACACACTGTGTGTTCAACCCACCGTGTGTTCAACCCACCGTGTGTTAAACCTACGGTGTGTTCAACACACCGTGTGTTCAACCCACCGTATGATCAACCCACCGTGTGTTCAATCCACCGTGTGTTAAACCCACCTTGTGTTCAACCCACCGTGTGTTCAACCCACCGTGTGTTCAACCCACCGTGTGTTAAACCTACCATGTGTTCAACCCACCGTGTGTTCAGCCCACCGTGTGTTCAACCCACCGTGTGTTCAACCCACCGTGTGTTCAACACATCGTGTGTTCAACCCACCGTGTCTTCAACCCACCGTGTGTTCAACCTACCGTGTGTTCAACCCACCGTGTGTTAAACCTACTGTGTGTTCAACCCACCATGTGTTCAACCCACCATGTGTTCAACCCACCGTGTGTTTAACCCACCGTGTGTTCAACCCTCCATGTGTTAAACCCACCGTGTGTTCAACCCGCTGTGTGTTAAACCCACCGTGTGTTCATCCCACCGTGTGTTCAACCAACCGTGTGTTAAACCCACCGTGTGTTCAACCCACCGTGTGTTCAACCCACCGTGTGTTCAACCCTCCGTGTGTTAAACCCACCGTGTGTTCAACCCACCGTGTGTTCAACCCACTGTGTGTTAAACCCACCGTGTGTTCAACCCACCGTGTGTTCAACCCATCGTGTGTTCAACCCACCGTATGTTCAACCCACCGTGTGTACAACCCACCGTATGTTCAACCCACCATGTGTTCAACCCACCGTGTGTTCAACCCACCGTGTGTTCAACACATCGTGTGTTCAACCCACCGTGTCTTCAACCCACCGTGTGTTCAACCTACCGTGTGTTCAACCCACCGTGTGTTAAACCTACTGTGTGTTCAACCCACCATGTGTTCAACCCACCATGTGTTCAACCCACCGTGTGTTTAACCCACCGTGTGTTCAACCCTCCATGTGTTAAACCCAACGTGTGTTCAACACACTGTGTGTTCAACCCACCGTGTGTTCAACCCACCGTGTGTTAAACCTACGGTGTGTTCAACACACCGTGTGTTCAACCCACCGTATGATCAACCCACCGTGTGTTCAATCCACCGTGTGTTAAACCCACCTTGTGTTCAACCCACCGTGTGTTCAACCCACCGTGTGTTCAACCCACCGTATGTTCAACCCACCGTGTGTTCAACCCACCGTGTGTTCAACCCACCATGTGTTCAACCCACCGTGTGTTCAACCCACCGTGTGTTCAACACATCGTGTGTTCAACCAACCGTGTCTTCAACCCACCGTGTGTTCAACCTACCGTGTGTTCAACCCACCGTGTGTTAAACCTACTGTGTGTTCAACCCACCATGTGTTCAACCCACCATGTGTTCAACCCACCGTGTGTTTAACCCACCGTGTGTTCAACCCTCCATGTGTTAAACCCACCGTGTGTTCAACCCACTATGTGTTAAACCCACCGTGTGTTCATCCCACCGTGTGTTCAACCAACCGTGTGTTAAACCCACCGTGTGTTCAACCCACCGTGTGTTCAACCCACCGTGTGTTCAACCCTCCGTGTGTTAAACCCACCGTGTGTTCAACCCACCGTGTGTTCAACCCACTGTGTGTTAAACCCACCGTGTGTTCAACCCACCGTGTGTTCAACCCATCGTGTGTTCAACCCACCGTATGTTCAACCCACCGTGTGTTCAACCCACCGTGTGTTCAACCCACCGTGTATTCAACACACTGTATGATCAACCCACCGTGTGTTCAATCCACCGTGTGTTAAACCCACCGTGTTTTCAACCCACAGTGTGTTCAACACACCGTGTGTTCAACCCACCGTGTGTTAAACCTACCGTGTGTTCAACCCACTGTGTGTTCAACCCACCGTGTGTTCAACCCACCGTGTGTTAAACCTACCGTGTGTTCAACCCACCGTGTGTTCAACCCACTGTGAGTTCAACCCACCGTGTGTTCAATCCATCGTGCGTTAAACCCACCGTGTGTTCAATCCTCCCAGATTCAATCCCCTTCTCCCAGGTTCCATCCCCTTTTCCCAAATTCCATCCCATTCTCCCTCATTCCATCCCCTTCTCCCAGATTCCATCCCCTTCTCCCTCATTCCATCCCCTTCTCCTAGATTCCATCCCCTTCTTCTAGATTTCATCCCCTTCTTCCAGATTCCATCCCCTTCTCCCTCATTCCATCCCCTTCTCCTAGATTCCATCCCCTTCTCCCAGATTCCATCCCATTCTCCCTCATTCCATCCCCTTCTCCCAGATTCCATCCCCTTCTCCCAAATTCCATTCCCTTCTCCCAGATTCCATCCCCTTCTCCCAGATTCCATCTCCTTCTCCCTGATTCTATCCCCTTCTCCCAGATTCCATCCCCTTTTCCCAGATTGCATCCCTTTCTCCCAGATTCCATCCCCTTCTCCCCAATTCCATCCCCTTCTCACTCGTTCCATCCCCTTCTCCCAGATTCCATCCCCTTCTCCTAGATTCCATCCCCTTCTCCCAGATTCCATCCCCTTCTCCTAGATTCCATCCCCTTCTCCTAGATTCCATCCCCTTCTCCCTGATTCCATCCCCTTCTCCCAGATTCCATCCCCTTCTCCCAGATTCCATCCCTTTCTCCCAAAATCCATCCTCTTCTCCCCGATTCCATCCCCTTCTCCCATATTCCATCCCCTTCTCCTAGATTACATCCCGTTCTCCCAGATTCCATCCCCTTCTCCCCGATTCCATCCCCTTCTCCCAGATTCCATCCCCTTCTCCCAGATTCCATCCCCTTCTTCCAGATTCCATCCCCTTCTCCCAGATTCCATCCCCTTCTCCCATATTCTATCCCCTTCTCTCAGATTCCATCCCCTTCTCCCAGATTCCATCCCCTTCTCCCAGATTCCATCCCCTTCTCCCAGATTCCATCCCCTTCTCCCAGATTCCATCCCCTTCTCCCAGCTTCCATCCCCTTCTCAGCAACCCCACCAGCCAGGTGAGTTGCTCCCAGCACCCCCACTAGGTAGGTGAGCTGCTCCCAGCACCCCCACCAGCCAGGTGAGTTGCTCCCAGCACCCCCACCAGCCAGGTGAGTTGCTCCTAGCACCCCCACCAGCCTGGTGAGTTGCTCCCAGCACCCCCACTAGCCAGGTGAGTTGCTCCCAGCACCCCCACCAGCCAGGTGAGTTGCTCCCAGCACCCCCACCAGCCAGGTGAGTTGCTCCCAGCACCCCCACTAGCCAGGTGAGTTGCTCCCAGCACCCCCACCAACCAGGTGAGTTTCTCCCAGCACCCCCACCAGCCAGGTGAGTTGCTCCCAGCACCCCCACCAGCCAGGTGACTTGCTCCCAGCACCCCCACCAGCCAGGTGAGTTGCTCCCAGCACCCCCACCAGCCAGGTGAGTTGCTCCCAGCACCCCCACAAGCTAGGTGATTTGCTCCCAGCACCCCCACCAGCCAGGTGAGTTGCTCCCAGCACCCGCACCATCCAGGTGAGTTGCGCCCAGCACCCTCACCAGCCAGGTGAGTTGCTCCCAGCACCCCCACCAGCCAGGTGAGTTGCTCCTAGCACCCCCACCAGCCAGGTGAGTTACTCCTAGCACCCCCACCAGCCAGGTGAGTTGCTCCTAGCACCCCCACCAGCCAGGTGAGTTGCTCCTAGCACCCCCACCAGCCAGGTGAGTTGCTCCCAGCACCCCCACCAACCAGGTGAGTTTCTCCCAGCACCCCCACCAGCCAGGTGAGTTGCTCTTAGCACCCCCACCAGCCAGGTGAGTTGCTCCCAGCACCCCCACCAGCCAGGTGAGTTGCTCCCAGCACCCCCACCAGCCAGATGAGTTGCTCCCAGCACCCCCACAATCTAGGTGAGTTGCTCCCAGCACCCGTTGCTCCCAGCACCCCCACCAGCCAGGTGAGTTGCTCCCAGCACCCGCACCAGCCAGGTGAGTAGCGCCCAGCACCCTCACCAGCCAGGTGAGTTGCTCCCAGCACCCCCACCAGCCAGGTGAGTTGCTCCTAGCACCCCCACCAGCCAGGTGAGTTACTCCTAGCACCCCCACCAGCCAGGTGAGTTGCTCCTAGCACCCCCACCAGCCAGGTGAGTTGCTCCTAGCACCCCCACCAGCCAGGTGAGTTGCTCCCAGCACCCCCACTAGCCAGGTGAGTTGCTCCCAGCACCCCCACCAGCCAGGTGAGTTGTCCACAGCACCCCCACCAGCCAGGTGAGTTGCTCCCAGCACCCCCACCAGCAAGGTGAGTTGCTTCCAGCACCCCCACCAGCCCGGTGAGTTGCTCCCAGCACCCCCACCAGCCAGGTGAGTTGCTCCCAGCACCCCCACCAGCCAGGTGAGTTGCTCCCAGCACCCCCACCAGCCAGGTGAGTTGCTCCTAGCACCCCCACCAGCCAAGTGAGTTGCTCCCAGCACCCCCACCAGCCAGGTGAGTTGCTCCCAGCACCCCCACCAGCCAGGTGAGTTGCTCCTAGCACCCCCACCAGCCAGGTAAGTTGCTCCTTGCACCCCCACCAGCCAGGTGAGTTGCTCCCAGCACCCCCACCAGCCAGGTGAGTTCCTCCGAGCACCCCCACCAGCCAGGTGAGTTGCTCCTAGCACCCCCACCAGCCAGGTGAGTTGCTCCCAGCACCCCCACCAGCCAGGTGAGTTGCTCCCAGCACCCCCACCAGCTAGGTGAGCTGCTCCCAGCACCCCCACCAGCCAGGTGAGTTGCTCCTAGCACCCTCACCAGCCTGGTGAGTTGCTCCCAGCACCCCCACCAGCCAGGTGAGTTGCTACCAGCACCCCCACCAGCCAGGTGAGTTGCTCTCAGCACCCCCACTAGCCAAGTGAGTTGCTCCTAGCACCCCCACCAGCCAGGTGAGTTGCTCCTAGCACCCCCACCAGCCAGGTGAGTTGCTCCCAGCACCCCCACTAGCCAGGTGAGTTGCTCCCAGCACCCCCACCAGCCAGGTGAGTTGTCCACAGCACCCCCACCAGCCAGGTGAGTTGCTCCCAGCACCCCCACCAGCAAGGTGAGTTGCTTCCAGCACCCCCACCAGCCCGGTGAGTTGCTCCCAGCACCCCCACCAGCCAGGTGAGTTGCTCCCAGCACCCCCACCAGCCAGGTGAGTTGCTCCCAGCACCCCCACCAGCCAGGTGAGTTGCTCCCAGCACCCCCACCAGCCAGGTGAGTTGCTCCTAGCACCCCCACCAGCCAGGTGAGTTCCTCCCAGCACCCCCACCAGCCAGGTGAGTTGCTCCTAGCACCCCCACCAGCCTGGTGAGTTGCTCCCAGCACCCCCACCAGCCAGGTGAGTTGCTCCCAGCACCCCCCACCAGCATGGTGAGTTGCTCCCAGCACCCCCACCAGCCAGGTGAGTTGCTCCCAGCACCCCCACCAGCCAGGTGAGTTGCCCCCAGCACCCCCACCAGCCAGGTGAGTTGCTCCCAGCACCCCCACCAGCCAGGTGAGTTGCTCCCAGCACCCCCACCAGCCAGATGAGTTACTCCTAGCACCCCCACCAGCCAGGTGAGTTGCTCCCAGACCCCCACCAGCCAGGTGAGTTGTCCCCAGCACCCCCACCAGCCAGGTGAGTTGCTCCCAGCACCCCCACCAGCCAGGTGAGTTGCTCCCAGCACCCCCACCAGCCAGGTGAGTTGCTCCAAGCACCCCTCCCAGCCAGGTGAGTTGCTCCCAGCACCCCCACCAGCCAGGTGAGTTGCTCCCATCACCCCCACCAGCCAGGTGAGTTGCTCCCAGCACAGCACCCCCACCAGCCAGGTGAGTTGCCTCCAGCACCCCCACCAGCCAGGTGAGTTGCTCCCAGCACCCCCACCAGCCAGGTGAGCCTAGGGGTGTTCTGTCCTCCCAGGACGTCACGTTTGACGAGTCGGTACCCTACTACCGCCTCTTCCCCTACCGCACTCCATCCCTCCCGCCACCTCCGCTCTTCTTGGTACCAGGTCCCCCCCCGGTAGACCCCCTTCCCCCTCAGGGTCCTGCCCTTTCAGGTGTGTCCCAGGTAGACGCGGTCGAGCCTGTCGAGGTCACTGGTGACTCTGGTGCTGCTGCGGGTGCTGAGCCTAGGGGTGCTGAGACTGGGGGTGCTGAGCCTAGAGGTGCTGCGACTGGGGGTGCTGAGCCTGGGGGTGCTGAGCCTGGGGGTGCAGAGCCTAGGGGTGCTGAGCCTGGGGGTGCTGAGCCTGGGGGTGCTGGGACTGGAGGTGCTACGCCTGGAGGTGCTTTGCCTGGGGGTGCTGAGCCAGGAGGTTCTTCGCCTGGAGGTTCTCCGAGTGCTTCGTCTTGCCGAGAGCCACTCTCCCCATTGGAGCTGCGTGAGTGGTTTGCCCGGCGCTGGAGGCGTACTGCTGGTGCTGGAGGTTCTTCTGCTGCTGAGGGTGCTGCTGTCGCGAGTCCCGGAGGTGCTCGTACTGGGAGTACTGGAGCTCCTGGGCCTGCGGGTTCGACTGGAGCTGGTGCTGCTGAGGGTGTTGGCGCTGAGACTACCACTGGCGGTCCTGCTAGGGGTGCTCCTGGTGCTGCTGTAGGTTCTGGAGCTGCTGGAGGTGCTGTTGGAGCGGGTACTCCTACTGGGGGTACTCGTGATGTCCCGGCTGTGTCTGGCGACGCCGCACGGCCTCGACCATACTTCGTTCCACTCCTACAGCAGGTTCTTGGTCTTCCACCTTCTACTGGCTCTCCTCCTCTCTCAGAGGGTCCACAGCCTGTCCCGTCACAGTCACAGCTACAGCCTGCCTCCCCCTTACCTGCTCCTTCTCCCTACGCTGGTCCTACAGGAGGTCTTACTGAGCGTCGTGAGCCTGCATCTCGTCCTGCGTCGCCTGTTCGTACTGCACGCGCTAGTGGTCGCAGTTCGCGTCACTGTCCTCCTCTTGTCCCTGGCACGCACCGGATGTCACTGTGTCCGTCTACTGCTCCTCTGCGTGCCCCTTTGCCTTCTCCTCCTGAGTCCTCTCTTCCTTCTCTTGCCGACCCGGAGTCGGACTCTCTTCGTGCTGCCAGTCCTACTGTCACGCGTTTCCTTGCTACTGTCGTCAATGACCCTTCTTTCGAGTCTTCTGCTGCGTCTGCCCTTGTTACTGAGCTCGTCGACTTTGCTGCTCGCTGTCGCCTAGACTACGCTGCTAGTCTTGTCGCAGAGTCTGCGTCCGTCTGTCCTCCGTCCGTCGGGGGTGAGTGTGCCCTTGGCACGGACGTCCTCGAGGATAGGCAGGAGGAGTTCCATTGCCAGGCAGCCGCTTCACCGCATCTCTTGTCCGTACTGCTTACCCCTGAGGGAGACCCGGATGCACTTGACATCCCGACTCCGCGCTCCTACGCGGAGGCGATAGAGGGTCCCTACTCCTCTCAGTGGCAGGCAGCTATGGATGCAGAGATGGCTTCCTGGAAGTCCATAGGCACCTACATTGACGCTGTCCCCCCTCCTGGGGCGAACATCTACAGTGGCATGTGGATCTTCAGGGTGAAGCGGCCGCCGGGTTCTCCGCCTGTCTTCAAGGCGCGTTACGTGGCTCGTGGCTTCAGTCAGCGGCAGGGGGTTGGCTACTTTCAGACCTTCTCCCCCACCCCGAGGATGACCACTCATCGGGTACTGCTGCACGTTGCTGCTCACCGTGACTACGAGCTGCACTCTCTCGACTTCAGCACTGCTTTCTTGCAGGGCAGCCTGCACGAGGAGATCTATCTGCGCCGCCCACCTGGCTTCACTGGGTCTTTCCCTCCTGGTACCCAGTGGAGTCTCCGGTGTCCAGTCTACGGTCTCCGCCAGGCGCCCCGTGAGTGGCACGATTCAGTGAGGACTACGCTTGCGGCTCTTGGGTTTGCTCATTCTACTGCTGACCCGTCGCTGTTTCTGCGCACCGACACCTCTCTGCCGCCGTTCTACATCCTCGTGTACGTCGACGACTTGGTCTTTGCCACTGCTGACACTGCTGGACTCGCCTACGTGAAGTCCGAGCTGCAGAAGAGACACACGTGCACTGACCTGGGTGAACTGCGCAGCTACCTTGGCTTGCAGATCACCCGGGACAGAGCACGCCGCACCATTACCCTGACTCAGTCACACATGGTGCAGCAGGTCCTTCAGCGCTTCGGCTTCACATACTCCTCGCCTCAGACCACTCCTCTGCCTACTCGCCACTCGCTCTCAGCTCTGCCTTCGGATGAGTCCGTAGAGTCGAGTGGCCCGTATCCAGAGCTTGTTGGCTGCCTCATGTACCTGATGACCTGCACTCGACCTGACCTTGCATACCCTCTTAGCATTCTTGCACGCTATGTTGCTCCTGGGAGACACCGACCAGAGCACATGGCTGCAGCGAAGAGGGTGTTGCGCTACTTGTGCAGTACGTCGGGCATGGGGCTAGTGCTTGGAGGGCGGAGTCCACTGGTCCTCACTGGGCACGCGGACGCTTCTTGGGCTGACGACCAGGCTACGCAGCGGTCGTCACAGGGTTACACCTTCAGCCTCGGTTCCGGCTCTGTTTCGTGGCGGGCTACCCGCTCGTCTTCTGTTCTCGGCTCCAGTTGTGAGGCTGAGATCTACGCCGGGGCTATGGCTGCCCAGGAGCTTTGCTGGCTCACCTAACTGCTGACCGACCTTGGAGAGCCGCCTCGTTCTCCTCCAGTGCTGAACGTAGACAACAAGGCCATGCTCGCCTTTTGTCGAGAGCAGCGACTGGAGCACAGGACAAAGAATATTGCTCTCCGCTACTTTCTTTCTCGTGAGCTACAGCAGCGTGGACAGTTGCGGCTTGCGTACGTGGCCTCTGAGGCCAACACTGCTGATATCTTCACCAAGGCACTTGCGCCTTGTGATCATCAGCGCTTCTGCACTCAGTTGGGTCTTGTGCCTGTCTTGCCTCACTTGCTCATGTCTTGACCTTGCTTGTACTGTCACTTATATATACTCTTGCTCTTGCTTACTTAGCCTCTTGTATATCTATATATATGTGTTCTTGCATTTGAACTGGCCTTTTGGCCTTTGAACTTGTGCTCGGAATGTGTGGTGACTTTGTGATCCACCCTGAGCTTTACCTTGCTTTGCTTGACTGGTCTTGTGACCCCTTGTTCTCCCCCACTTTGCCTATGGGGGTGTGTGAGAACATTATAGCTTACTTATTTGTGTAGGCTATAGTGGGGTATCCCATAGGGGGTACAACCCAATTAGGGTTTCCTATATGTACTCACTTCATTCATAGTCATCTCATTCTCGTTCTCTCTTTTCACAGCGCATCTGTGCGCCTTTGCAGCCAAGACTGTTTTGCCAGGTGGGGTGGGGTATGGGAAGCACGATCGAGTGCAAGAAGCCCTGACTGCTTCTCAATCTTCCATACATGCGCGCCGATTTTCAGCATGCTTGGGCAAAACTGGCTCTGGACGTCCAGAATGGCTAGGCTCAAGCGATGTCGGTCGTGGACCTGTGCGTGTTTACAGCTGTGACTGTTTTGCTAGGTGGAAGGGGGTAAGGGGATCACGATCGAGCACAAGAACCCCCGAGTGGTTCGCAATATTTCACAGATGCGCGCAGATTTTCAGCGCGCTGGGGGAAAACTGGTCCAGGATGTCCAGGATAGCACAGCGCAAGCGATGTGGGTCACGCATCTGTGCGCCTTTGCAGCCGCGAATGTTTTCCCAGGTGGGAGGGGTATGGGGAGCACGATCGAGTGCAAGAACCTCTGATTGCTTCGCAATCTTCCACACATGCGCACCGATTTTCAGCATGCTTGTGCAAAACTGGCTGGGGACGTCCAGGATGGAGAGGCTCAAGCGATGTTGGTCGCGCACATGTGCGTGTTTGCAGCCGTGACAATTTTGCTAGGTGGAAGGGGGTATGGGGGTCACGATCGAGCACAAGAACCCCCAACTAATTCGCAATCTTCCACACATGCGCGCGGATTTTCGGCGTGCGAGGGCAAAACTGGCTTAGGACGTCTAGGATGGCCCGGCTCAAGCAATGTCTGTCGCGCATCTGTGCGTCTTTGCGGCCAGGATTGTTTTGCCAGGTGGGGTGGGGTATGGGGAGCACGATCGAGTGCAAGAAGCCTTGACTGCTTTGCAGTCTTCCACACATGCGCGCGGATTTTCAGCGTGCTGTCGCAAAAGTGGCTTACGACATCCAGGATGGCCCGGCTCAAGCGATGTCGGTCGCGCATCTGTGCGCTTTTGCAGCTGCGACTGTTTTGCCACGTGGGAGGGGGTCTGGGGAGCAGGATCGAGCGCAGGAACCCCCGAGTGCTTCGCAATTTTCCACACATGCGCGCGGATTTTCAGCGTGCTGGGGAAAAACCGCCTTAGAAAGCCAGGGATGGCCCGGCTCAAGCGATGTCAGTCGCGCATCTGTGCGCCTTTGCAGCCAAGACTGTTTCGCCAGGTGGGAGGGGGTATGGGGAGCACGATCGAGTGCAAGAACCTCTGACTGCTTCGCAATCTTCCACACATGCGCACAGATTTTCAGCATGCTTGGGCAAAACTGGCTGGGGACATCCAGGATGGACAGGCTCAAGCGATGATGGTCGCGCACCTGTGCGTGTTTGCAGCCGTGACTATTTTGCTAGGTGGAAGGGGGTATGGGGATCACGATCGAGCACAAGAACCCCCAACTAATTCGCAATCTTCCACACATGCGCGCGGACTTTCAGCGTGCGAGGGCAAAACTGGTCCAGGAGCGTGCCTGGTCCGAGAGCTTGCCTGCTCCAGGAGCTTGCGTGGTCTAGGAGCTTGCCTGGTCCAGGAGCTTGCCTGGTCCAAGAACGTGCTTGGTCCACGAGTTTGCCTGGTTTAGGAGCTTGCCTGGTCCAGGAGCTTGCCTAGTCTAGGAGCTTGCCTGGTCTAGGAGCGTGCCTGGTCCAAGAGCTTGCCTGGTCCAGGAGCTTGCCTGGTCCAGGAGCTTGCCTGGTCCAGGAGCTTGCCTTGTCTAGGAGCTTTCTTGGTCCTTTAGCTTGCCTGGTCAAGGAGCTTGCCTGGTCTAGGAGCTTTCCTCCTCCAAGAGATTGCCTAGTCCAGGAGCTTGCCTGGTCAGGGAGCTTGCATTTTCTAGGAGCTTGCCTGGTCTAGGAGCTTGCATGTTCTAGGAGCTTGCCTGGTCCAGGAGCTTGCCTGGTTCAGGAGCTTGCCTTGTCCAAGAGCGTGCCTGGTCTAGGAGTGTGCCTGGTCCAGGAGCTTGCTTGGTCCAGAGGCCTGCCTGGTCCAAGAGCTTGCCTGGTCCAGGAACGTGCCTTGTCCAAGAGCTTGCCTGGTCCAATAGCTTGCCTATTATAAGAGCTTGCCTGGTCTAGGAGCTTGCCTGCTCCAAGAGCTTGCCTGGTCTTGAAGCTTGCCTGGTCTAGGAGCTTGCTTGGTCTAGAAACCTGCCTGGTCCAAGGGCTTGCTTGGTCCTGGAGCGTGCCTGGTCTAAGAGCTTGCGTGGTCCACGAGCTTGCCAGGTCTACGAGCTTGCCCGGTCCAGGAGCGTGCCTGGTCCAGGAGCGTGCCTGGTCTAGGAGCTTGCCTGGTCCAGGAGCTTGCCTAGGCCAGGAGCTTGCCTGGTCCAAGAGCTTGCCTACTCCAGGAGCTTGCCTGGTCCAAGAGCTTGCCTGGTCCAGGAGCTTTCCTGTTCCACGAGCGTGCCTGATCCAGGAGCTTGCCTGGTCCAAGAGCTTGCCCAGTCCAGGAGCTTGCCTGGTCCAGGAGCTTTCTTGGGCGAGGAGTTTGCCTGGTCCACGAGCTTTCTTGGGCGAGGAGCTTGCCTGGTCCAAGAGCTTGCCCAGTCCAGGAGCTTGCCTGGTCCAGGAGCTTTCTTGGGCGAGGAGTTTGCCTGGTCCACGAGCTTGCCTGGTCCTAGAGCTTGCCTGGTCTAGGAGCTTGCCTGGTCCATGAGCTTGCGTGGTCCAAGAGCTTGCGTGGTCCAGGAGCTTGCCTGGTCCAGGAGCTTACGTGGTCTAGGAGCGTGCCTGGTCCACGAGCTTGCCTAGTCAGGAGCTTGCCTGGTCCAGCACCTTGCCTAGTCTAGGAGCTTGCCTGGTCCAGGAGCATGCTTGGTCCAGGAGCTTGCCTGGTCCAGGAGTTTGCCTGGTCCTGGATCTAACCTGGTCCAGGAGCGTGCGTGGTCTGCGAGTTTTCCTGGTCCAGGAGCTTGCCTGGTCTAGGAGCTTGCCTAGTCTAGGAGCGTGCCTAGTCCAGGAGCTTGCCTGGTCCAAGAGCTTGACTGGTCCAAGAGCTTGCCTGGTCCAGGAGCGTGCCTGGTCTACGAGGCTGCCTGATCAAAGAGCTTGCATGGTCCAAGAGCGTGCTTGATCCACAAGAGTGCCAGGTCCAAGAGCTTGCTTGGTCCAGGAGCTTGCCTGGTCTAGGAGCGCTTCTAGTCCAGGAGCGTGCCTGGTCCAGGAGCTTGCCTGGTCCAGGAGCTTGCGTGGTCTAGGAGCTTGCATGGTCCAGGAGCTTGCGTGGTCTAGGAGCTTGCGTGGTCTAGGAGCTTGCCTGGTCCAAAAGCTTGCCTGGTCCAGGAGCTTGCATGGTCCAAGAGCTTGCCTAGTCCAAGAGCCTGCCTGGTCCACGAGCGTGCCTGGTCCAGGAGCTTGCCTGGTCCAGGAGCTTGCATGGTCCAGGAGCTTGCCTTGTCCAGGAGCTTGCCTGGTCCAGGAGCTTGCCTTGTCCAGGAGCTTGCCTAGTCAAGGAGCTTGCTTGGTCCAGAAGCCTTGCTTGTCCATGAGCTTGCCTAGTCGAGGAGCGTGCCTGGTCCAAGAGCTTGCATGGTCCAGGGGCTTGCCTGGTACAAGAGCGTGCGTGGTCCAAGAGCTTGCATGGTCTAGGAGCTTGCCTCGTCCAGGAGCTTGCCTGGTCAAGGAGCGTGCTTGGTCCACGAGGTTGCCTGTTCCAGGAGCGTGCCTAGGCTAGGAGCTTACGTGGTCCACGAGCGTGCCTGGTCCAGGAGCTTACGTGGTCCAAGAGCTTACCTGGTCCAAGAGCGTGCCTGGTCCAAGAGCTTGCCTGGTCCAGGAGCGTGCCTGGTCTACGAGTGTGCCTGGTCTAGGAGCTTGCTTGGTCCAGGAGCTTGCCTGGTCCAGGAGCCTGCCTGGTCCACAAGCTTGCCTGGTTCAGGAGCTTGCGTGGTCCAAGAGCTTGCTTGGTCTAGAAGCCTGTCTGGTCCAAGAGCATTCCTGGTCCACGAGCATGCCTGGTCCAAGAGCTTGCGAGGTCCAGGAGCTTGCCTTGTCCAAGAGCTTGCTTGGTCAAGGAGCTTGCCTGGTACAGGAGCTTTCCTGTTCCAGGAGCGTTCCTGGTCCAGGAGCTTGCCTTGTCCAGGAGCTTGCCTGGTCCTGGAGCGTGCCTGGTCCATGAGTTTGCCTGGTCCAGGAGCTTGCGTGGTCGAGGAGCTTGCCTAGTCTAGGAGCTTGCCTAGTCCAAGAGCGTGCCTGGTACAGGAGCTTGCCAAGTCCAGGAGCTTGCAAGGTCCAGGAGCTTGCCTGGTCCAGGAGCTTGCCTCGTCTAGGAACTCGCCTGGTCCAGGAGCGTGCCCGGTCCACGAGCTTGCCTTGTCCAGGAGCTTCCTTGGACCAGGAGCTTGCCTAGTCCAAGAGATTGCTTGGTCCAGGAGCTTGCATGGTCCAGAAGCTTGCGTGGTCCAGGAGCTTGCCAGGTCCAGGAGCTTGCTTAGTCTAGATGCCTGCCTGGTCCAAGAGCTTGCCTGGTCCAGGAGCGTGCCTGGTTTTAGAGCTTGCCTGGTCCAGGAGCTAACTTGGTCTAGGAGCGTGCCTGGTCCGGGAGTGTGCCTGGTCAACGAGCTTGCTTGGTCTAGGAGCTTGCCTGGTCAAGGAGCTTGCCTGGTCCAGAAGCGTGCCTGGTCCACGAGCTTGCCTGGTCCAGGAGCGTGCCTGGTCCAGGAGCGTGCCTGCTCCACGAGCGTGCCTGGTCCAGGAGCTTGCCTGGTCCAGGAGCATGCCTTTTCCAGGAGTTTGCCTAGTCCAAGAGCCTGCTTGGTCCACGAGCTTGCCTGGTCCAAGAGCTTGCCTAGTCCAGGAGCGTGCCTGGTCCAAGAGCGTGCTTGGTCCAGGAGCTTGCCTGGTCCAAGAGCTTGCCTGGTCTAGGAGCTTGCCACGTCCATAAGCTTGCTTGGTCCAGAAGCCTGCCTGGTCCAAGAGCTTGCCTGGTCCAGGAACCTGCCTGGTCCAAGAGCTTGCGTGGTCCTGGCGCTTGCCTGGTCTAGGAGCTTGCCTGGTCAAAGAGCGTGCCTGATCCACTAACGTGCCTGGTCTAGGAGCTTGCGTGGTTCAGGAGCTTGCCTTGTCCAGGAGCGTGCCTGGTCCACAAGCCTACGTGGTCCAAGAGCTTGCCTGGTCCAGGAGCGTGCCTTGTCCACGAGCGTGCCTCGTCCACGAGCTTGCGTGGTCCAGGAGCTTGCTTGGTCCAGAAGCTTGCCTATTCCAGGAGCTTGCCTAGTCTAGGAGCTTGCCTCGTCCAGGAGCTTGCCTCGTCCAGGAGCTTGCCTGGGCCAAGAGCTTGCCTGGTCCAGATGCCTGCCTGGTCCAAGAGCTTGCCTGGTCCAGGAGCGTGCGTGGTCTAAGATCTTGCGTGGTCTAGGAGCTTGCCTGGTCCAGGAGCGTGCCTGGTCCACGAGCTTGCCTGGTCCAGGAGCTTGCCTGGTCTAGGAGCATGCCTGGTCCAGGAGCATGCCTCGTCCACGAGCTTGCCTGTTCCATGAGCTTGCCTGGTCCAAGAGCTTGCGTGGTTTAGGAGCTTGCCTGGTCCACGAGCTTGCCTGGTCCAGGAGCGTGCCTCGTTCATGAGCTTGCCTGGTCCAAGAGTTTGCCTGGTCCAGGACCTTGCCTGGTCTAGGAGCTTGCCTGGTCCAAGAGCGTGCCTGGTCCAGGCGCGTTCCTGGTCCAGGAGCTTGCCTGGTCTATGAGCTTGCCTAGACCAGGATCTTGCCTGGTCCAGGAGCGTGCCTGGTCCACGAGTTTGCCTGGTCCAGGAGATTGCCTTGTCTAGCAGCTTGCCCTGGTCCAGAAGCCTACTTGGTCCTAGCATGTGCAAAATTGCATGAACAAGGGCCTAGCATGTGCAAAATTGCAAGAACAAGGGCCTAGCGTGTTCAAAATAACAAGAAAAAGGGGCTAGCGTGTGCAAAATAGCAAGAACAAGGGCCTAGCTTGTGCAAAATTGCAAGAACAAGGGTCTAGCGTGTGCAGAATAGCAAGAACAAGGGCCTAGCGTGCGCAAAATTGCAAGGATAAGGGCCTAGCGTGTGCAAAATTGCAAGAAGAAGGGCATAGCGTGTGCAAAATTTCAGGAACAAGGGCCTAGTGTGTGCAAAATTGCAAGAACAAGGGCCTAGTGTGTGCAAAATAGCAAGAAAATGGGGCTAGCGTGTGCAAAATAAAAAGAACAAGGGCCTAGTGTGTGCAAAATTGCATGAACAAGGGTCTGGCGTGTGCAAAATAGCAAGAACAAAGGCCTAGCGTGTGCAAAATTGTAAGAATAAGGGCCTAGCTGTGAAGAAATGAAAACAGGAATGAGTGTGACTATGAAATGAAATCAGTACAAGTATCAAACCCTAACTGGTTGTACCCCCTACACGATACCCCACTACAGCCTACACAACACTATAAGCTGTATATATGTTCTGACACACCCCCATAGGCAAAGTGGGGGAGAACAAGGGGTCACAAGACCAGTCAAGCAAAACAAACAAAGCTCAGGGTGGATCACAAAGTCACCACACAGTCCGAGCACAAGAGCAAGGCCAAAGGCCAGTTCACATGCAAGAGTACAGACATATATATAAAGCAAGACAAGCAAGAGCAGGTATATATATGTCACAGTACAAGTAAAGTCAAGAAGAGAGCAAGTGAGGCAAGACAGGCACAAGACCCAGCTGGGTACAAAAGCGCTGATGGTCACAAGGCGCAAGTGCCTTGGTGAACACATCAGCAGTGTTGGCCTCAGAGGCCACGTACGCAAGTCGCAACTGACCACGCTGCTGCAGCTCACGAGCAAGGAAGTAGCGGAGAGCAATGTGCTTCGTTCTGTGCTCCAAGCGCTGCTCTCGACACAAGGCCAGCATGGCCTTGTTGTCTACGTACAGCACTGGAGGAGAACGAGGCGGCTCTCCAAGGTCAGTCAGCAGGTAGGTGAGCCAGCGAAGCTCCTGAGCAGCCATGGCCCCGGCGTAGATCTCAGCCTCACAACTGGAGCCGAGAACCGAAGACGAGCGAGTAGACCGCCACGAGACAGAGCCGGAACCAAGGCTGAAGGTGTAACCCTGTGACGACCGCTGCGTAGCCTGGTCGTCAGCCCAAGAAGCGTCCGCGTGGCCGGTAAGGACCACTGGACTCCGCCCTCCAAGCACTAGCCCCATGCCCGACGTACTGCACAGGTAGCGCAATACCCTCTTCGCTGCAGCCATGTGCTCCGGTCTGTGTCTCCCAGGAGCAACATAGCGTGCAAGAATGCTCAGAGGGTATGCAAGGTCAGGTCGTGTGCAGGTCATCAGGTACATGAGGCAGCCAACAAGCTCTGCATACGGACCACTCGACTCTACGGACTCATCCGAAGGCAGAGCTGAGAGTGAGTGGCGAGTAGGCAGAGGAGTGGCCTGAGGCGAGGAGTACGTGAAGCCGAAGCGCTGAAGGACCTGCTGCACCATGTGTGACTGAGTCAAGGTAATGGTGCGGCGTGCTCTGTCCCGAGTGATCTGCAAGCCAAGGTAGCTGCGCAGTTCACCCAGGTCTGTGCACGTGTGTCTCTTCAGCAGCTCGGACTTCACGTAGGCGAGTCCAGCAGTGTCCGCTGTGGCAAAGACCAAGTTGTCGACGTACACGAGGATGTAGAACGGCGGCAGGGAAGTGTCGGTGCGAAGAAACAGCGACGGGTCAGCAGTAGAAGGAGCAAACCCAAGAGCCGCAAGCATAGTCCTCAGTGTGTCGTGCCACTCACGCGGTGCCTGGCGGAGACCGTAGACTGGCCGTCGGAGGCTCCACTGGGTGCCAGGAGGGAAAGTCCCAGTGAAGCCAGGTGGACGGCGAAGCCAGATCTCCTCGTGCAGGCTACCCTGCAAGAACGCAGTGCTGAAGTCGAGAGAGTGAAGCTCGTAGTCGCGCTGAGCGGCTATGTGCAGCAGCACCCGAAGAGTAGTCATCTTCGGGGTGGGAGAGAAGGTCTGAAAGTAGTCAACTCCTTGCCGCTGACTGAAGCCACGAGCAACGTACCGTGCCTTGAAGACAGGTGGAGAGCCCGGCGGCCGCTTCACCCTGAAGATCCACATGCCACTGACGATGTTCGCCCCAGGAGGGGGAACCGCGTCAACGTAGGTGCCTGTGGACTTCCAGGAAGCCATCTCTGCATCCATAGCTGCCTGCCACTGAGAGGAGTAGGGACCCTCTACGGCCTCCGCGTAAGAACGCGGAGTCGGGATGTCTAGTGCATCCGGGTCTCCCTCAGGGGCAAGCAGTACAGACGCGAGATGAGGTGAAGCAGCCGCTAGACACTGTAACTCCTCCTGCCTGTCCTCTAGGACGTCCGTGCAAAGAGCACACTCACCCCCGACGGACGGAGGACAGACAGACGCAGACTCAGCAACAAGACTAGCAGCGTAGTCGAGACGACAGCGAGCAGCAAAGTCGACGAGCTCAGCGACTAGAGCAGACGCAGCAGTGGACTCAAAAGAGGGGTCAGTGACGACAGTAGCAAGCAGACGCGTGACAGTAGGACTGGCAGCACGAAGAGAGTCCGACTCAGGGTCGGCAAGCGCAGGAAGAGAGGACTCAGGAGGAGAAGGCAAAGGGGCACGCAGAGGGGCAGTGGACGGACGCAAAGACATCTGGTGCGTGCCAGGGACAGGAGGAGGACGCTGACGCGAACTGCGACCACTAGCGCGAGCAGCACGAACAGGCGACGCGGGACGAGACGCAGGCTCACGACGCTCAGCAAGACCTCCAGTAGGACCAGTGTAAGGAGAGGGAGCAGGCAGTGGAGAGGAAGGCTCCAGCAGGGACTGCGACTGGACAGGCGGTGGACCCTCTACTAGAGGAGAAAGACCAAGAACCTGCTGCAGGAGCGGAACGAAGTACGGCCGAGGCCGCGCGGCAGCTCCAGACTCAGCAGGGACAGCACCAGCATTCCCAGCGACAGCACCAGTGCCACCCACACCTCCAGCGGCAGGACCAACAGCAGTAGGCTCAGCACCAACGCCCTCAGCAGTCCCAGCTCCAGGAGGACCCGCAGGTCCAGCAGCTCCGGGGCCGGCAGCACCCGCACCCTCGACGGTCGAAGAAGCTCCAGCTCCAGCTCCAGTAGCACCTCCGGACGCAGCAGCACGTCTCCAGCGGCGAGCGAACCACTCGCGCAGCTCCTGTGGAGAGAGGGGCTCCCGGCGAGACGCAGCAGCAGGAGAAACTCCAGGCTCAGCAGCTCCAGACGCAGTACCCCCAGGCTCAGCAACTCCCAGCACAGCACCCCCAGGCTCAGCAGCTCCCGACCCAGCACCCCCAGACCCAGCACCTCCAGGCTCAGCAGCTCCCGACCCAGCACCTCCAGGCACAGCATCCCCCGGCTCAGCACCCTCCGCAGTAGCACCCTCAGGCCCAGCACCCCCAGCAGTAGCACCCCAAGGCTCAGCACCCCCTCGCAGAGCACCCCCAGAGTCAGCACCCCCAGGCTCAGCACCCGCAGCAGCACCAGAGTCACCAGTAACCTCGACCGGGTCAACGGCGTCTACCTGGGACACACCTGAGGGGGCGGGAACCTGAGGGGGGAGGGGGTCTACCGGGGGAGGAACCGGCACAAGGAAGTCCAGGGGAGGGGGGAGGGAAGGAGTGCGGTAGGGGAAGAGACGGTAGAAGGGGACTGACTCGTCGAACGTGACGTCCTGGGAGGACAGAACACGACGAGAGGAGGGGTGGTAAAACTGCCACCCTGGGGCGTCAGTGGGGAAGCCAAGGAAGACACAGGGAGCAGCACGAGGGGACAGCTTGTCCGCAGACAAGTCGCGGACAAACGCCCGAGATCCCCAGACACGGAACACAGACGCATCGCCAACCTTCCCCGTCCACAGCAAGGCTGGGGACATCGCAGGCCGAGAGACCCGGGGGTGAAGGTTGAGCTGATGCGCCGCGTACCTCACCGCAAACGGCCACAGAAAATGGGGGGCAGCCGCATGCATCATGGACGTACGAGCGACATCCATGACCATGCCAATGCGGCGCTCAGCAATCCCATTTTGCTGTGGTGAGTCCGGAAGCGTGAAGGTCTGGCGGATCCCCCGCGCACGACAGTAGTCCCGCAGGAGGCGAGAAGAGAACTCTCCGCCTCTGTCCGAGTGCAGACGCATAACAAGAAAGTCCGAGCCGAAGCTCTTCCTGAGCTGGAGACGAGCCTCGCGGATCCAGTCGATCAGCACCTCAGTGACCGCACCCTTGCTGCGCAAGGGGAGGACTGTGGTGTAACGCGAGTAGTCGTCAACCACCAACAGGAAGTAGCGCTCGTATCCCTGCCCACGGACGGGGGCTGGGCCCCACACATCCATGTGAAGCGTCTGCAGGGGAGCCTCTGTCGGGGGGAAGTGGGAGGAGTGAGGAGTAGCCCGGAGGCGACCCTCGACACAGGGGACACAGGAAGGTCCTGGCCCGGAGGGGAGAGGAGGGAGAGACTGGGGAAGACCAGAGACAAGGACACGGGAAGCCATGCTCCGAAGACGGGGCAAGGAGGGGTGGCCAAGACGGTGGTGCCACAGGAGAGTCTCGTGAGACAGGAGGCGACAAGAACAGGGGGCAGACTCAGGACCTGACCGCGACGCAGCAGCAAGCACCTGACCTGACGCAGCTACCTGACCGGACGCAGGGACAGGAGGAGACGAAGTGGTCAGGGTGTAGAGACTCGACCCCGGCCGACGCGAGAAGGTGGCTAGGTGTCGGCCTGTGCGTGCGTCCGTGCAGTGGGTCTCCCGCTAACTCGCAGGAGTGAATAGGTGGACCCCCGCATCCTGGAGGGCTGCACCACTCACTAAGTTCGTAGAGAACAAGGGAAGGTACAGACCAGACAGGGTGCCCGAAGGGGCAGCCGGACACGGGAGGACAGTGGAGAAGTGAGACAGGACAGGACCCCCAGAGGGGTCAGCAAGGGAGACCGCAACCGGCCGGCCGAGCGGCGTAAGGGTAGTGCGGTCTCGAAAGAAGGAGCGAGAAGCGCCGGAGTCAAGTGTGAAAGTGAGGGAGGACGAGGACGACGCAGTACCTGAGAGCGCAGTCTCACCAGTACCTGAGAGCACAGACGCACTGGCACCTAGAGCAGCAGCCTCACAAGCACCTAGCGCAGCAGTACCAATGCCCGGGTCGGGCTGGAAACAACGGTAACCCTCAGTCTCCTCACTATAATCCACAACATACATAGCAGCAAGGATAGCATCAAAATCAAGATCAAAGATCGCTACACCAGCCCTGAGAAGCTCATCCCAGCGAGGGATCTCACTAGCCCCAGGGAACTGCTGACGCCAAGCGTCCGTCAGGCGGCCAAAGCAGCGCTGGGTGGCGTGGGCACCCCCACACTGCTCACCCGCGCGGTCGCCGGAACGAAGAACGTAGGTGCAGGGACCAGTACCCCCACCCCTCTGACGCCCAGCGTACCACTCACGAAGCTGCTGAGGCGGAGGGATGTCCCGCGAGCGCTGCTGCTGCTGCCGCTGCGAGCGCTGGCCACCACCACCGCCGCTACGCTGCTGGGTACCACCTCGACCAGCTCCACCTCCTCCACCACCACCGCCTCCTCCGCTGCCGCCTCCGCCTCCTCCACCTCCGCCGCTGCCTCCACCACCAACGCTGGCACCACCACCACCGTCTCCGCCACTGCTGCCACCACCACCACCACTCCCGCCACTAGTCCCGCCGCCACCCCCACTCCCTCCGCCGCCACCGCCGCCACCGCCACCGCTCCCTCCAGCTCCACCCGCGCCCTTGCCCCCCTTGCCCTTGCTGGAGCGACGTCTCCCACTAGGGGCAGACGCCGCGCCGACCGACTCAAGACCAAGCAGGTCGGCAGCAGCAGCAGAGGCAACAGAGGGCAGCAAGGGGGAAGGAGAGCACCCCTCAAAGATGGGGGTGCGAGGGTCACCACGAGAAGCACCTACAGCGACTATGCTCTTCTCCGCTGCGAGGAGGGCCTTCTCGAGGAGGTCGACGGTGAGGGTGGTGGGACAGACTGCGAGAAAGTGGTCCCTGACGACGCGAAGGGAGTCAGGGAGGCGCGTGACTACGTAGTAGAGAGCGATGTACATGGGGGGGGGGTTCTTAGCGCAGAACTCAGCAGGAAGGGCGGCGCGGTAGCGAGTGTCACTAGTGCGGAGGTGCGTAATGAGGTCAGCGACAGTGGGAAAGGCAGAGAGGTCAGGAAAGAGGTAGGGAAGCATGAGACGGCTCAGTGCAGCAGTGGCAGGGGAGGAGTAGCGCGCAACTACAGCGTCGTACAAGGTGTGAGCACTCTTGTACTGACTAAAGTGCGCACGCTCAGAGGTAGGGAGGTGGCGACGCACAGCAAGACGTGCAGCAGCATCGCGGGTGGCCCACTTAGAGCGGACAGTGGGATCAGCATCAGCAGCAGGAGCAGGAGAGGCGCCAGAGGTGAGGTCAAAGAGAGAAAGGTCGTCAGCCCTGTCGCACTGTAAGAACAGCTGCAGGTCGTCTAACCAGACCTCAAAATCAATGGCGCGACCCTCAGCGTCAAAAGCTAGGACACTAGGGGTAGCCATGGCGACGACAGCGACGCAGTGCAAGCAGTAGGGAAAGAGCTCGCAGTGTCAGTAGGACTGTGCTCACCAGGCAGGGCAGGTCGTGCAGCTATGCAGAAAGGCGGCTCAGCAACCGGGCGGCTCGGGTGCACAGCGGCTCGGCTGCTGGGCGGCTCGGGCGCAGGGCGGCTCGGCTCCCGGGCGGCTCGGCGGTAGGGCGGCTCGGGTGCAGGGCGGCTCGGCTCCCGGGCGGCTCGGCAGCAGGGCAGCTCGGGTCCCGGGCGGCTCGGCGTTGGGCGGCTCGGCTCCCGGGCGGTTCGGCTGCTGGGGCGGCTCGGCCGGGAGATGCAGGGGCGGGGCCGTCAGGTGCAGCGGCAGGTCGACCGGTGCAGTGGCGGGCCGGCAGGTGCAGCGGCGGGCCGGCAGGTGCAGGCGGCGGGCCGTAGGGTGCAGCGGCGGGCCGTAGGGTGTAGCGGCGGGCCGTAGGGTGCAGCGGCGGGCCGGCAGGTGCAGCGGCGGGGCCGTCACGTGAGGCTGCGGGCCGCTGGGTGCAGCGGCGGGCCGGCAGGTGCAGCGGCGGGGCCGTCAGAGGCGGCGGGCCGCTGGGTGCAGCGGCGAGCCGGCAGGTGCAGCGGCGGGCCGGCAGGAGCAGCGGCGGGCCGGTAGTTGAGGCGGCGGGCCGGCAGGAGCAGCGGCGGGCCGTAGGGTGCAGCGGCGGGGCCGTCAGAGGCGGCGGGCCGCTGGGTGCAGCGCCGGGCCGGCAGGAGCAGCGGCGGGCCGGCAGGAGCAGCGGCGGGGCCGTCAGGTGAGGCGGCGGGCCGGCAGGAGCAGCGGCGGGGCCGTCAGAGGCGGCGGCGGGGCCGCTGCAGTAGAGGCGGGGCCGCGTCAGGGGAGGCGGCGGGGCCGCGTCAGGGGAGGCGGCGGGGCCGCGTCAAGCAGGCGGCGGGGCCGCGAGGGAAAAGGCGACCCGAAGGGTCGCTAAAAAAAAAGGCGCGCCTCGGGGCGCGCTTCGGTGGGCCCTAAAAAAACGGTCCTAAGGCAGGACCCGCTCTATACCATGTGAAGAAATGAAAACACGAATGAGTGTGACTATGAAATGAAATCAGTACAAGTATCAAACCCTAACTGGTTGTACCCCCTACAGGATACCCCACTACAGCCTACACAACAGTATAAGCTGTATATATGTTCTGACACTAGCGTGTGCAAAATTGCAAGAACATGGGTCTAGCGTGTGCAAAATAGCAAGAACAAGGGCAAAGCGTGTGCAAAATTTCAGGAACAATTGCCTAGTGTGTGCAATATTGCAAGAACAAGGGCCTAGTGTGTGCAAAATAGCAAGAAAAAGGGCCTAGCGTGTGCAAAATAGCAATAACAAGGGCCTAGCGTGTGCAAAATTACAAGAACAAGGGTCTTGCGTGTGCAAAATAGCAAGAACAAGGGCCTAGCATGTGCAAAATTGCAAGAACAAGGGCCTAGCGTGTGCAAAATTGCAAGAACAAGGGCATAGCGTGTGCAAAATTGCAAGAAGAAGGGCCTAGCGTGTGCAAAATTTCAAGAACAAGGGCCTAGTGTGTGCAAAATTGCAAGAACAAGGGCCTAGTGGGTGCACAATCGCAAGAACAAGGGTCTAGCGTGTGCAAAAGAGCAAGAACAAGGGCCTAGCGTGTGCAAAATTGAAAGAACAAGGGCATAGCGTGTGCAAAATTTCAGGAACAAGGGCCTAGTGTGTGCAAAATTGCAAGAACAAGGGCCTAGTGTGTTCAAAATAACAAGAAAATGGGGCTAGCGTGTGCAAAATAGCAAGAACAAGGGCCTAGCGTGTGCAAAATTGCAAGAACAAGGGCCTAGCGAGTGCAAAATAGCAAGAACAAGGGCCTAGCGTGTGCAAAATTGCAAGATCAAGGGCCTAGCGTGTGCAAAATTGCAAGAACAAGGTTCTAGCGTGTGCAAAATAGCAAGAATAAGGGCATAGCGTAGGCAAAATTGCAAGAACAAGGGCCTAGCTTGTGCAAAATAGCAAGAACAAGGGCCTAGCGTGTGCAAAATTGCAAGAACAAGGGCCTAGCGTGTGCAAAATTGCAAGATCAAGGGCCTAGCGTGTGCAAAATAGCAAGAACAAGGGCATAGCGTGTGCAAAATTGCAAGAACAAGGGTCTAGCGTGTGCAAAATAGCAAGGACAAGGGCCTAGCGTATGCAAAATTGCAAGAACAAGGGCCTAGCGAATGCAAAACTGCAGGAACAAGGGCCTAGGGTGTGCATAATTTCAGAAACAAGTGCCTAGTGTGTGCAAAATTGCAAGAACAATGGCCTAGTGTGTTCAAAATAACAAGAAAAAGGGGCTAGCGTGTGCAAAATTGCAAGAACAAGGGCCTAGCGAGTGCAAAATCGCAAGAGCAAGGGCCAAGCGTGTGCAAAAAATCAAGAACAAGGGCCTTGCTTTCGCGAAATAGCAAGAACAAGGGCCTAGCGTTTGCAAAATAGCAAGAACAAGGGCCTAGCGTGTGCAAAAAAAAAAAAACAAGGGCCTAGCGTGTGCAAAATATAAAGAACAAGGGCCTAGTGTGTGCAAAATAAAAAGAACAAGGGCCTAGCGTGTACAAAATAAGAAGAACAAGGGCATAGCGAGTGCAAAATAGCAAGAGCAAGGGCCTAGCGTGTGCGAAAAATCAAGAACAAGGGCCTAGCGTTTGCGAAATAGCGAGATCAAGGGCCTAGCATGTGCAAAAAAAAAAGAACAAGGGTCTAGCATGTGCAAAATTGCAAGAACAAGGGCCTAGCGTGTGCAAAATATAAAGAACAAGGGCAAAGCGTGTGCAAAATAGCAAGAACAAGGGCCTAGCGTGTGCAAAATAAAAAAAACAAGGGCCTAGCGTGTGCAAAATAAAAAGAACAAGGGCCTAGGGTGTGCAAATGTTCAAGAACAAGGGCCTAGAGTATGCAAAATTGCAAGAACAAGGGCCTAGCGTGTGCAAAAATGCAAGAACAAGGGTCTTGCGTGTGCAAAATAGGAAGAACAAGGGCGTAGCGTGTGCAAAATTGCAAGAACAATGGTCTAGCGTGTGCAGAATAGCAAGAACAAGGGCCTAGCGTGTGCAAAATTGCAAGAACAAGGGCCTAGCGTATGCAAAATTGCAAGAACAAGGGCCTAGCGTGTGCAAAATTGCAAGAACAAAGGCCAAGCGTGTGCAAAATTGCAAGAACAAGGGTCTAGCGTGTGCAAAATAGCAAGAACAAGGGCATAGCGTGTGCAAAATAGCAAGAACAAGGGCATAGCGTGGGCAAAATAGCAAGAACAAGGACTTAGCCTGTGCAAGAATGCAAGAACAAGGGCCTAGCGTGCCCAAAATTGCAAGAACAAGGGCCTAGCGTGTGCAAAATAGCAAGAACAAGGGCCTAGCGTGTGCAAAATTGCAAGAACAAGGGCCTAGCGTGTGCAAAATTGCAAGAACAAGGGCCTTGCGTGTGCAAAATTGCAAGAATAAGGGCCTAGCGTGTGCAAAATTGCAAGAACAAGGGTCTGGCGTATGCAAAATTGCAAGAACAAGGGCCTAACGTGTGCAAAATTGCAAGAACAAGGGCCTAACGTGTGCAAAATTGCAAGAACAAGGGCCTGGCGTGTGCAAAATAGCAAGAACAAGGGCCTAGCATATGCAAAATTGCAAGAACAAGGGTCTAGCGTGTGCAGAATAGCAAGAACAAGGGCATAGCGTGTGCAAAATTGCAAGAACAAGGGCCTAGCTTGTGCAAAATAGCAAGAACAAGGGCCTAGCGTGTGCAAAATTGCAAGAACAAGGGCCTAGCGTGTGCAAAATTGCAAGATCAAGGGCCTAGCGTGTGCAAAATAGCAAGAACAAGGGCATAGCGTGTGCAAAATTGCAAGAACAAGGGTCTAGCGTGTGCAAAATAGCAAGGACAAGGGCCTAGCGTATGCAAAATTGCAAGAACAAGGGCCTAGCGAATGCAAAACTGCAGGAACAAGGGCCTAGGGTGTGCATAATTTCAGAAACAAGTGCCTAGTGTGTGCAAAATTGCAAGAACAATGGCCTAGTGTGTTCAAAATAACAAGAAAAAGGGGCTAGCGTATGCAAAATTGCAAGAACAAGGGCCTAGCGAGTGCAAAATCGCAAGAGCAAGGGCCAAGCGTGTGCAAAAAATCAAGAACAAGGGCCTTGCTTTCGCGAAATAGCAAGAACAAGGGCCTAGCGTTTGCAAAATAGCAAGAACAAGGGCCTAGCGTGTGCAAAAAAAAAAGAACAAGGGCCTAGCGTGTGCAAAATATAAAGAACAAGGGCCTAGTGTGTGCAAAATAAAAAGAACAAGGGCCTAGCGTGTACAAAATAAGAAGAACAAGGGCATAGCGAGTGCAAAATAGCAAGAGCAAGGGCCTAGCATGTGCGAAAAATCAAGAACAAGGGCCTAGCGTTTGCGAAATAGCGAGATCAAGGGCCTAGCGTGTGCAAAAAAAAAAGAACAAGGGTCTAGCATGTGCAAAATTGCAAGAACAAGGGCCTAGCGTGTGCAAAATATAAAGAACAAGGGCAAAGCGTGTGCAAAATAGCAAGAACAAGGGCCTAGCGTGTGCAAAATAAAAAAAACAAGGGCCTAGCGTGTGCAAAATAAAAAGAACAAGGGCCTAGGGTGTGCAAATGTTCAAGAACAAGGGCCTAGAGTATGCAAAATAGCAAGAACAAGGGCCTAGCGAGTGCAAAATAGCAAGAGCAAGGGCCTAGCGTGTGCAAAAAATCAAGAACAATGGCATAGCGTTCGCGAAATAGCAAGAGCAAGGGCCTAGCGTGTGCAAAATATAAAGAACAAGGGTCTAGCATGTCCAAAATTGCGAGAACAAGGGCCTAGCGTGTGCAAAATAAAAAGAACAAGGGCATAGCGTGTGCAAAATAGCAAGAACAAGGGCCTAGCGTGTGCAAAAAAAAAAGAACGAGGGCATAGCGTTTGCAAAATAGCAAGAACAAGGGCCAAGCGTGTGCAAAAAAAAAAGAACGAGGGCATAGCGTTTGCA